GCATTGCCAAGTCTGACAGTCTCTCTTCTCCAGTGAGGTGCAAGTATGAGCTAATTTTGATTTCCTGAAAACCACCAAAGGTGTGTGTGCCCATCAGAGCCAAGAATGGATTTTTAGACCCCTCCTCATCCTCCTCCATCTCCCTTAAGTCATTGGTTCTGTTTTAATGGTGCTTGGGATAGAACCCAGGTCTTGCTTATGCTGGGTAAGTGCTTTACTATGGAACCATGCCCCCAGCTCTTTCGTGCACACTCTCTACTAAACACCTGGTTGGGTAGGTCCAAGCCTCATGCCACTACACTAGCAGGCCCAGAACCTGTGTGTGGGTGTTACCTCCTTGTAGGCCTGAGGTTAGAGGAATGAATGCTACACCTACTTGCTAGTACTGTCTTTCAGAGTGAGTTGTAATTACACCACATAAAGGAATACATGTGCCAATATCAAATATGTGGCAGGGACTACATAGTGTTACTGTATTTGACCTCCTTTTTAATTTGTTTGTATGATTGATTGGTTTAGACAAGATTTCTCTGTGTAGCCCTGGCTGTCCTGGAACTCACTCTGTAGACCAGGCTGGCCTCAAACTCAGAGATCCACCTGCCTCTGCCTCCCGAGTGCTGGGATTAAAGGCATGTGCCACCACCAGCCAGCCTGTATTTGACCTCTTAGTAGTTTAGGTTGGTGCTGGCATCTGAGTCCCAGATTGCAGCAGCTTTCTCAGAGAGAAATGTCTATGCTGCCAGATGACATCTGTCTATTCTCCTCTGAACACTTAACTCTGGTGATTTCTTTTGTGTGTGTCCTGGAATTTTTGTTCGTTGCTTTGAATGTAGTGTGGGGTGGTCACAAAAGAATGGCCTTTCTCTCACCCACCCTGCCTCCACTTCCCAGGTGCTGCTATTACAGGCCTCCATCGATGCCTTCAATTTGGCTCTGAGTTCATGAACTTGAGATAAGTCATTAGCATGATTCTAATTCCCCCCAAACAACACTTAATTGTTCTGTCATGGGTTTCAAATGATTCCCTAAGCACCTTCAGAATATTAGCATTTCTGGCTGTTCTATTAAAATGATTCTCATATAACTTGGAAATTAGAAATCTCTTTATGTGACATATGACATTTAATTTTAAAAAAGTAGTCTCAAGAAAAAAAAATCTCAGTATATAGTCCATGCTGCCCTTGAATGTTTAGTCCCCTTGCCTCTGCCTTCCTCCAGCTGGGATGATAGGGGTGAACCACCAAGCCTGTTGTTCCCCTGGGCAGACAAAAACATCTACCTCCCACCTGCCAAATACAATTCCAAAGATAGACCAAAGTAACCATTACACCAAGATCCAACTTCGGAAACCAATGAGTTTGCTGGGCTTACTTACATGAGCATGGGTGAGGGGTCATCCTGTGAGCCACCCAAACAGCCACAGAATTGAAAAGTCTCACCCCCACGGGCTGCAGAGATGACATCATTCACTTAGTTAACCCTACACACTTTATCACACCTTCCAAGACCTTGAGACCACCAGTGGCGTAGACAGGATTACAGATAGCTGGAAGGGATTACAGATAGTGTAAGAAGGAGTGGCCGCAGTCTCAGGTGAGGCTCTTGTGACCTCCCACAGCCCCTCCCAGGAATGAATCCAATAGGCCCAATTGTAAGGCACCTGCATACTACTTTGATGGAACTGGCTGTTATGCTCAAAATCAGCCTCTTGGCTTGTTCCACAAGAGTCTAGCACCTTCGATTGCCAGATATTGAGATATCTTAGTCACTTTCATATGCTGAAATGTTGGGTTAAATATCAATCATTCTTAACTGAAAGCAACATTTTTTTTTCTCTCTCCAAAACAATATACACATGCCTTTCTTTTGTTGTTGTTGTTTTTTGAGACAGGGTTTCTCTGTGTAGCCCTGGCTCTGTCCTGGAACTCACTCTGTAGACCAGGCTGGCCTCAGACTCAGAAATACGCCTGCCTCTGCTTCCCAAGTGCTAAGATTAAAGGCGTGCGCCACCACTGCCCAGCGACACATGCCTTTCTTAATCCTAGCACTAGGGAGGCAGAGGCAGTGGATCTCTGTGAGTTCAAGAACAGCCTTATCAACAAATCGAGTTCCAGGACAACCAGGGCTGTTACACAGAGACCCTGTCTCCAAAAACTACACCAAACCAAACCAAACAAAGCCAAAAAAACCTCAAAACCCAAAACCCAAAACAAAACAGCAACAACAATACCAATCAAAAGTCCTTAAAAAAAAAAAGCCAGACTTTCTCTGGTCTTAGTTTCCAGTAATCAAAAGGCTGGATTTCTCTCAGGTCCTCAGACAAATGCCATCTTGATGGTTGCTCTCAGACAGTTATCTTTTTTTTTTTAAAGACAGGACTGAATGGGCTGTCCAAAAGCTGGTTCTTTTTGTTGACACAGACTCATACTTATCAAACTCGGCCTTTCTCCAAGGACAACCTTAGCACTTGTCATTCTCCAGCATGGTTCATCCAGTGCTGGAGACCAGATTCCTGGGCAGCTACTTGCTGGTCTTACATTTTTGCTGGGCTGCATCCCTAGCCGCTAGACTTGAAGATTCTAGATGTTAAGCACTTTTGATTTTGCTGAAGATTATGGGGAAAGAGCTGGAAGGGAGGGAGAAAAGAAAACAGCCATGACATTTTGGGTGTGAGATTAACATCTGCCAAAGGTCATGGTGGGCCGGTGCTACATATGAGGTGGCTTTAGAAGCTGCCTTGTAGTTTTGTTTTTTCAAGACAGGTTTTCTCTGTGTAGCTTCAGCTGTTCTAGAACTCACTCTGTAGACCAGGCTGGCCTGGAATGCAGAGAGATCTATCTGCTTCTACTTCCCAAGATTAAAGGTATGTGTCACGACCACCCAGTCTTAAAATTTTTTGGTCTTGTTGTTGTTGTTTGTTTTGAGACAGCATTTCACACTGTTGTACTGGCCAGTCTCATAGAAACCTTCCCACCCCATTCTTCCCAGTGCCAATATCACAACATGAGCCACCAGGTCTACAGAAAATCCTAGCTTTGCCTTTATGGTCTTCTGTCTTTGGTTTCCTCATCTTGAAGAGAATTATTATAAAAACAAAACGGTGGGTGTAGAGAGCACAGAGCAGCCAAGGTTGGCAGATGAGATTGCACCACAGGAAGCTACAGCCGGCTTACTAAGGCTGAAGGGGAGAGGCTCAAGATTAGAACTTGAACTAGACCTTTGGTCCCAGTACTAGGGAGAAGGATCTCTGAGATCTAGGGCACCCAAGCCTACATAGTGAGACCCTATCTAAAAATAAAACAGGGGCTAGAGAGATGGCTCAGCAGTTAAGAGTCCTTGTTCCTTCAGAGGACCCAGGTTCAATTCCCAGCACCCACATGGCAACGGACAATTATCCCTAGCCCCAATCCCAAGGGTCCAAAGGGCATAAATACAGGCAAGCAAGTAAACATTTATACACATAAGGTAAAATAAATAAATCTAAAAAAACCCCCCCAAAACAAAAAAAAAACAAAAACAAAACCACACCAAAACCCACCTTGAACCACAGTATAGGGAAAAACCCAGGTGGAGAGATGGCTCAGAGGTTAAGAGCACTGACTGCTCTTCCAGAGGTCCTGAGTTCGATTCCCAGAAACTACATGGTGGCTCACAACCATCTGTAATAGGATCCAATTCCCTCTTCTGGTGTGTCTGAAGACAGCCACAGTGTACTCGTATACATAAATCTTAAAAACACACACACACACACACAAAAACACAACAAACCCAAGAATCATGCTTGTTGATCATCAGTTTAAAGAAATGAGGGCAGTCAGCTCTCCTGTAGGAAGGATGATGAGATTTCCTAGGGTGCTGTAAAGAGTGCCTGAGCTTAAGAACCCTGCTCAATGTTCTGCAAGCAAAACCAGAAGAGTCACAGGTCAGGCAGAGACCCAGGCACTGGTGCTCTCCCGTCCCAGCCTCAGTCCCTTGGAGCAAGAGATTAGAACAAGGGTCCGGCTGCCTGGCCTGGGATTGGATGTCTGCTGCACATTTTTTCTCATTTCTGTTTACAAAAGGCAAACAAGAATGAGATAACAGTAAAGTCTACTGAACCAAAACAGGTTACAGGAAGGAGATAATGTGCTCAATGACAAGAAGACAACCGCAGCTGGGCCCAAGGTGACAAGTCTTGGGAAGTGAGGAGGGGGTCTGTGTGTGTGTGTGTGTTCATGAGTTCACTCCTGTGGTTTTTTTTTTTTTTTTTTTTTTTTTTGAACAGGATTTCTCTATGTAGCCCTATCTGTCCTGGAACTCTTCGTAGACCAGACAGGCCTTAAACTCTGCCTACTTCTGCCTCCTGAGTGCTAGGACTAAAGGTGTGTGCCACCACGTCTAGCCCTCTGAAGTAGTTCAGAATACAGAACACGTTTGCACAGGCATGGATTCTAGTATAATGTTGATTCTTAAAAAAAAAAGGCACCAGTAAGTTTAAGTGCATATTACTGTAATTTCAAGTGACTGTTTATTCAAGATTATATGCCTATAAAATATAAACAGCTGGATTATTACAGTGACAGATTTGCTAGTGCTTGTAATCTCAATTTAATACTTGAACCAGATTTTATTTTTATTTTTTTCACGTATTGCAACAGGTATGTATTACACGCCCACTGTCAGCATGCACTCTTCCTAATGCAATCTTATATCAAAGACAATGACGTCAGCTAAGCTCTTAGACTCTTAGATGGGTCATGGCAGAGATAACTGGGTAAAGGTCATTTTGCACTTCTGATAGCTAAAGCCAGGAGAAACGTGCAGATGAACAGGAGACCTGAGATTCATTCATCAACTGGCTTGCTGTCCTTAGGGGAAATAACCTTTATGGTATCATCTAACAGGTCTGTGCCCAGTGTTAGACAGATGGCCTCATGCAGGACTCCCAATAATATAAATGTTAAACGTCAAGATATATATACACACACTGTATCAAAAGAAAACAGATGTTCTCCCAAGAGTTAGTATTTGAAAACTTTATTTTCTCAAATGAGCACCAACACAGATCAGCAATGACAGAAATAACGCACTTCTTACTAATACTGAATTATATACAAATACCGGAAGGAGGTGAAGACAAATTATTAAAAAACAATTGCCTTTGTTATTGAAGCAAAGTGACCTGGGGAAAAAAGATTCCCACCCAAGAAAGGAAAAAAGAAAAACAAAAGCAATCCCAAACCCAACAAATACAGTTTGTAAACACAGACAGACAAATTCATGGTACACAGTCTCTGCAGGCTGGGAAAATGAAACTGACTCCTGTTCTCACCAAACCATGTAAGACACTGTACAGATCTAAGCCCAGGAGGACGCCTTTCTGGCACATTTCATGGCTGTATAGTAATTTTATTAATCAAACACGATTTTTAAAACAATCTTTCCCAGTCATAGAACTAGCATCTCCATTGAGGCAGATTTTTTTTTTAATACAAAAGTTGTGTTCAAGATTTGATTTGCCAGCCTCTGCCTGAACCCCAAGCAATCTGACCTTAAAAAAAAAACAAAAGCTATTAAAGTTTAAAAACAAAAGTTATTAATGTCCTTTTAACCTAAACTCTAATATGACATGGCTTCTAGAACAACCAGAGCCCTGGGATGTGAGGCTGGTCTGCTCTCATCTCAGAAGCAGGCTTCACTCTGGCTTATCCTCACAGACTGGCTTCACTGGCTGTAGAAGATGAACACACAGACGAAGAGGAACTGGCCACAGCTCCACACTCGGAAAGAAAAGCTTGCTTCGGACTGTTGGTCCACTCACACATGGAAACCAGAGAGGGAAAACTCTGTGCCCAAGGTGTAAACTGTAGTTCATAGTGTCCTCAGTAGGAAAGGAAACAGAAAAGTGAAAGACAGACAGACAGACAGACAGACAGACACACACACACACAGACACACACACACTCAGTCTATTCCAATTTCTTGGAAGTTCTCTCAACTATAGCAATTACTCTTAAGTTGTTACTACTAAGCTTGTTTCTTTTCTAGCCAATACTGGGCAAGAAAGTATCAGTTCACAACCTGGTAATTTACTAGTCTGTTCTGCTGGGTAAAAATGCAAACAGAAAACTGCAAAAATGTTTTAAAGCCTCAATCCATCTTATAGTGACAGATCCTTAAAGAAAAAAGTATCTTGATGATTATTCTTTCCCTTAAAATATACTCCAAGAAACACAGAGGAAGCTATAGAATTGAAAATAAAAGTGCTCTCAGGGGATCTGAGAATACAGCACCAAATATATTATTTAAAAAATTAAATATTATTTACAAAAGTATATTTCACAAGCGACTGTATATATATATGGAAATCTTATTATAAAGGGGACACTTCTTTTGTACACATTGATCCACCAGCTAAGATTTTGACTTTATGTACATGATCTGTCATAGGAGCTGGGCGGTACTCACCCAGAACCGGCTGAGAGCCGGTAAGCATCAAGCTATACTTGACTCATGTTGACCTACTCGTCAGCAGCCTGGGGGAGATATGGAGGTGGGGTGGGGTGGATATATCCCAGGGTGGCCAAGGCCCGGTCACCCACAGTGGCACAGGGCAGATGGAACAAGCTGGTCAGCTAGACTTCAATTCAAAATGAAGGTAGCTGGCAGCTGAGGTACAGACCTTTAGGCCTTCCCTTTCTCCTCTCTTCTGCCCTTGCCTACCCCTGCCCAAGTTCACCCAATCAACTTCCCATTCCCTGAACCTATATGGAGTGAAGGGATGAGGTCTTTGGTTATGCTGAGTCAATCATTTGATGAGGAAGAAAAAAAAAAAAAGAAAGAAACTGACCGAGGCGTTGGGTGCAGGAGTTCTGCCGCTCAGCCGCGGCCTTGCTAATACTGAGAAGTTAGGCAGACAAACTGTGAGTGGTCAGAAGAAGCACTTTTGGTTTTACCGTCAGAGGGAAACCTGATGAGTTTTAGTCTCACCCCCAAAACTTGTAGTTTAAGGACCCTGCCCCTAGGACAAACAGTGGCACACTGGTCTCCTTTCTCTACCCCGTGAGATTCCAGGGCACCACAGATCCAGTTTCTACATGTCACTAACTTTAGTTTTAAAGAAACTACCTAGGTTTCACCCCCACCCCTAACCTAAAAAAAAAAAAAAAAAAAAGGACTTGTAGTATATTGTAGTATATAGCTAGGTATTCCCTGAGCAAAGGGTCTAATCAAATCTTTAAATGAAGGCCACATCCAACAGGATAAAGGAGTGGGGACAATGACTCTCAGAGCTGGCAAGCCAGCTTAGGAATGTGCAAGTGGAAAAATGTGTCACTGACAACTTGAGCCCGGGAGCCACGGGTGGTTTTTCTGGAACCAAAACCCAATCCCCGTGCGTCTTAGCCGGCCTTGCAGTCCAGTGGCTGGGGTGTGAGGCAGAGCTAGTCTTCCAGGGCCCAGGACAAGCAGACTTGAGAACAAAATTCTGTTTCTAGGAATCCCTTTGTGCCCCAGAAGGCAGGCAGTCTACTGAGCTGGCTGGCTTTCTACTGCCCTGACAAGTCTCAATTTGTCCATTTCCAGATGAGGACATGCGGGACAAAGCCATGCCACCACAGCTCTCTCCTTTTGGGAATTTTGTTCTGCTGAAGATGTGAACTGATGTTCCTGGTGGGCTGCGCTAGCCTTGGTTAACCTATGCTACAGGTTCTTTTCTCCGTGGGTGCACTCTCTTGCTCCCTCTTCTCTTGGGCTTTTTTTTTTTCAGAGGTGAATTTATTGGAGGACCAGCCTAGTTAGAGACGTAAGATGCTGAGAAGTACCTAAGACGCCCATATTTTAACATTATTTTCTGCCTAAGAAATGAAATTGATTCAAAGGAGTTTCGGCCATGATCCACATAATAGCTGGTTGCTGCAAAACAGCCTTCACAGTGTTGATTAAATACAATAAGTTCTTTTTCATTTCAACATACTTACAGGGATTTTTTTTTCCCTCCCAATCCCTAACTCAAGGAAGCTTGGTAGGGTGGGTAGGAGTAATAATGAATCTGTAATCCCTCCCACTGCTGGACCCAGACTGTCAAAAGAGGATGTCTCTCCACATAGAACATTCGGGTATCAGAATGGAAGCTTGAGGGATAGAATCGTGGATCTTTGATTCCCAGGTTAGGGTGACGGAATTTGAGGGAGGGAAAAACCCAAAACCCAGAAACACTATGTGCAAAGAATTGCTGGTCCCATGGAAGCTACTGACCATCCGATGAGGAAAGACGTGCCAAGCCTGTGATGGCTCAAACCAGAACTGTTCCTCCTGGAACCTCACCTCTGCCACATTACTCTTGTAGAACTGCTGACTGGTTCTCAATTTTCACACTTCCTGCTTGCTATCAGGAGCTCCCAGGCTACAGCAACTCTTCTGTTCCTGGTTCTCCTCCATTACTGATTTTACTGTGCTTCAGGCTAAAAGGGACATTTGCAGCTTGCATCTTTCCTTGCAACCTACAAGAGCTAAGGAGACCAAGAAGGTGACTGCCCAGGAGGGGGGATGGCACAGTCACTAAACCCCCAACACCCTCCCCTCACTGTAGCAGGACCTTCTCCAGTCCAGGTCCAGAATGCCAGGGTCTTGCCCTGTCAGCTAGAATCAGGGCCACTTCTTGTGCTAACTGCTGTCCTGACACGTCTGATGCTAGGGCAGGAGTTTGTCATCAGAGAGAACAAAAGCCATGAGGTATTTTTTTTTCTCTTTGTCCTTTTGAAGGAGTCAATTATTTCAAGCCTAAGTTACCAGGTCTCCAAGAGAGTACAGTATTGTTCCACCTTCCTGCCCCTTCCCCAATCCTAGGACTCTCAGGTTCACCTTTGCTGTTCCTCATGCCCATGTGCTACTGCTCTGACAGGCCATTAGGCAGCTCTCATGTGGGCAGGGGGTCCCCCTTTTCAAGGCGCGCTGCCACCACCCGGCCAAGGGTCCATTCCGCTCATAACTGTTTTCAGCCAACACTAGAACAGAGAGATCAACTCACAAACAGATACAAAGCAAAGAGACAGAGAGACAGTGATTTAGAGGCCAGTCACCAAAAAAAGATGACGCCAGGGTGGGAGGATGCCCCCTGATGGCCAGACCCCTAAGTAGATGGAACCGAGTGTGTTCAGTCACTCTCTCACGCTTGGGTAGAATGTTCAGTTGGGTGGCATTCACGTGGATGCTGGACCGGGTAGATGCTATCAGGTCAGTCCCAGCCATTGTCCTTGATCATGTGTGCTAGTTCAATGATGTATTTGCCTTCTTTATATTTCTGACTGCTTTCAAAGGCATGTTCCTATAAAACAGAGGAAGAGAAAAAAAAGACAGCGAGTGACTGAAGGCAAAGATGACTGCTGAGACACGGAAAACATCGGTAGGGCTGATGACAGGCACCTGGACAGCCATCAGGTTTGCCAAACACCCCAGCACGCAAGCATCCCGAGTTCCTGCTGTTAACAGCACAACTGAGGGACATCTGGGCTTCCTCAGTATCATGACAGGATTTATTTGGATCATTCCTCTTTTAAACGTTTGTTCAAGGTCAGCATCCCAGTAAGTTCTTTCCCAGCTACTCAATCTGAAATCCCAATTTCACCTGTGGCCGGGCATGCCACAGCCTTCTCTTCTAGTCAGCTTCCCTTATCTCTAGTCCACTTTCTGTTGCCTGTGATGCAGTAAGAACTTGAAGCAAAGCAGAGATGTTCTTGCTTTGCACACTGCTGTACTCCTAGAAGACTAAGATAACAGGCCTTTAGTAAACAGACCAAAGGCAGCTACTGAATCTGGAAGCCAATTTGGGAGCACTAGAGTTGAAGACAACCTTGGTTTCATATGAAGTTTCTTGGTTTCTTTTTTTAAAAAAGAAAAATAAATCCTGACAACATGGCGCACACCTTTGGTCCTAGCACTTGGGAGGCAGAGGCAGGCGGGTCTGTGTGAGCTCCAGGCCATCTAAGGCTACAGAGTGTTCCCTGTCTTCAGCTGATGTTCACACACACACATGAGCTCTTTAGGAAACTGGGAATTCTGAAGCTTACTAGAAGTCTGCCTTACAGACATTTCATGTTTCTATGTTATTTCCATGAGTTTCTAGGAACACAGAGAAGCCTGGTTGTCATCTTAAGGCATACTTGTCATGCATAAGTAGGACAGCAAGAAAAACCAGTACTGAGGCCAACCAGGTCCTATTTTTTGTTCTCGATGTTTCCACATCAGGTGAATCAGGTGCTTCTCTTTCACTGCCTTTCTCCAGGGAGACACTGCATGAACCCCGGAGCTGCAGAACCTCCTCCCACCCCACCCTCTCTACCTTCCTGGCAGGTCGCTTCTACCCCTGTGGAGCCTCTCAGTGGGTCCTACAGAAAGCCATCCTGCCCGATATCTCCATGCAACGAGGAAGCACACAGACATTTATGCATTATCCCAGAGCACGGGTCCCTGGAGTCACTCGAGTAATGACAGAGGCACAAGCAGTAGACAAGCAGCTCTTCTGGCTGAACCGAAGATTAGTAAGAAAACGAATCCTACTGTTAAGTAGGTTCCGACAAAATATTGATATGAACTACGGCTTTTTTTTTTCCTTTGGTTTTCAAGACAGGGTCTCTCTGTGTATCCCTGGCTGTGCTGGAACTCAGAGGTCAGCCTGCTTCTGCCTCCCAAGTGCTAGGATTAGAGGCCTGTGCTACCACCACCCAGCGGGCATTACTAGTGAACTACAATGTCTATTTCATAACCTGGGGGCTTTGTGTTTTAGAACAAGAGTTCAGGCTTAAAGTTGTCTTGTTGAGTGAAGAATCAATCTACAAAGTGAGGAGGAAGAGGGGAGCCAGGAGACCAGAGAATGTGCACACAACTGTGGAGTAAGCAGAATTTCCCTGATACTTCATTGTTCCCCTGGCACTGTGTGAGAGTGTGAGTGTGTGAGTGTGTGTGTATGTAAGAGAGGGAGAGGGAGAGGGAGAGGGAGAGGGAGAGGGAGAGGGAGAGGGAGAGGGGGAGAGAGAGAGAGAGAGAGAGACTGTGCTATGATTTGAGACTAAGACCTGTTGTGCCTGTGTTTTGGGCAGAAGTGGAAAGTAAAAATACTAGAGTGGGGGGCTGGAGAGATGGCTGAGCAGTTAAGAGCACTGACTGCTCTTCCTGAGTTCAATTCCCAGCAACCACATGGTGGCTAACAACCATCTGTAATGGGATCCAATATCCTCTTCTGGTGTGTCTTAAGATAATGACAGTGTACTCACATAAATAAATAAATAAATAAATAAATAAATAAATAAATAAATAAATAAATCTTTAAAAAAAAATAAAAAGAATACTAGGGTGAGTTTTCCTCGGGTACCAAGGGGCATCTCTGTAATCCCGGCACTGGTAAACAGAGGCAGGAGGAAGCAGTAAAGTCTGGGCTACACACCCGTTTCCAGCCATCCTGTGATACATCCTGTGATACAGAAGAAAAGCAAAGCAAATCCACCCACCCACTGGCATCTGTGACAGTGGCACTGGACTCCAGCAGGAAGAGTCAGTAATCTGGGTCAGTCTCTGAAACTGTTCACTTAACCAACTGATTAGCTACTCAGTCAGTGTCTATGGCTGTGGCTCTCAACCTATGGGCCACAACCTCCGTCTCCAAAAATATTCACATCACCCTTCATAACAGTAGCAAAATTACAGTTATAAAGTAGCAACAGAAACAATCTTATGGTTGAGGGTCATCACAACCTGAGGAACTGGGTTAAAGAGTCACAGCGTTAGGAAGGTTGAGAACTACTATAGGATTGTTCTGTAGGTTCATAAAAATACCAAAACTAAGGAGAACAGAGTTGAGTGCATTAAGGCCATCAACATGAGCCATCAGGCTGGGCAGTGGTGGCGTACGCCTTTAATCCCAGCACTTGGGAGGCAGAGGCAGGCGGATTTCTGAGTTTGAGAGTTTGAGGCTAGCCTGGTCTCTACAGAGTGAGTTCCAGGACAGCCAGGGCTACACAAAGAAACCCTGTCACGAAAAAACCAAAAAAACAAAACAAACAAACAAAAAACATGAGCCATCGGACCCTTCCCCACTGTCTTCCCATCATCATGATGGGAGTGGATTGCCATCTTTTTCCCCTCTCCTGATGCCGAGGATCAAACTCAGGGCTGCTAGGCAAGTGCTCACTAGGGCACTCGCTCCCATGAAGTTTCTAGGCAACAGCTTTTTATAAAATTGTCAGATCACTGAACCTGAACCTCAAGCAACAAATGAAACCAGCCAATCAGGGTTATCTCTTCCTCTACTCCAACATGTCAGTGGATGAAGCAGCCCAGGATCAACAGTAGAACTGTGTGATCACATGGTGGTGCGTACCTGTAATTACTGCTCATGGGGGGCTTAAGAGAAAGGACCCAATTCTCAGGCCAATCTGGCCCTTAGCAAGACTAACACCACCACCACCACCACCACCACCACCACCACCTCACAGCCCTATTGTTTCTAAATTTATTTCCCTGTAATAAACTTTATTATTTTTTAAAGAGATTTTATTAGTTCCCCAGCAAGGCCAAGTTCCTTCTACCACCTTCTCCCAAATACTAAAATCACAGTATTTTACTTGCACAGTTTGCACCTCCATGCCCAAGTGGCACTGTATTGATTAGCACCGAGAAGGCTGAGCGTGAGGGCATAAAGCCAGCTAAGAGACAGAGCCCCATTGGAACCTCATTCCGCTGCTTAGACAGCATTTGAAAACTAGCTGGCAGCTGTGGGAGCATTGATCCTACTTTTGTAGAGACCCAAACCCAGCTAGTCAGTTCTGACTGTTGTTGGTTGGCTGGCTGACTGGCTGTTTACTGACACAGGGTCTCATGTCGTCCATCTGGGTCTGCCATCTTCCTGTTTTAACCTCTTAAGATTATAAGTGTGTAGGGCCATGTCTGGACAACTAGTGTTTTTTATGTATATATGTACATATCTGTTTATGTGTACATGTGTGTGTTAGCCAGAGGATAATGTCAAGTGTCTTCCTCAGTTACTTCCTTGAGTGTCTCTCATTGAATCGGGAGCTCACCGACTGGCTAGACTGGCAGCCTCAAGGATTCTCCTGGTCTATGCCTACCCAGCTCTGGGATTACAAACATGTAATGCTGCACCCAGCTTTTTCCAAGGGTGCTGGGGATCAGAATTCATGTCCTTGTGTTTCTAGACAAGCACTGCTGACTGAGCTGTCTTCCGAGTGTTGTTACAGAGTAAGGGTTCAGGAGATGCTTTAACGGCCCTGTTAATAAATGTGTATATGCACTCCCACGGAAGCACTTCCAGGACACATGAAGGGATGAGCCAGGAGGTATGAGCACACACGGCTGAAGGCAGCCTCTGGCATTCCTTAACCAGGAGGCCCTCTGCTATCTATCCCCCTCCCCCCAAGCTCTCTTCTGTACTTACATATTTCCAGCCCAAAGTGGTTTTGCAGTTTTCACAGTAAATGTCTGCAACGGCATGTAGTCCTGTTAGCAACACCCGCTCTTCTGCAGGCCCACAGCCCACATTAACTCTATGCCAAAGACAGAAAGAGAGCGAGCGGGTGGTTAGTCAGAAGGATAAACAACCATTAGTCATTCAAGCTAAGCTTCTGGCAAAAACTGACTGGACAAGGCTACTCCCAGGGAAGCCAACAGGGAGAAAAAACTGGTCTAAAACTGAAATGAAAAACATCCATCTCCTCAAAGGTAACCACATGGAAATGTCTCAGTGGGAATAAATCCTAGATCTGCAAGATTCAATTCTGTGGGTTGACCAAAATAGCACTGGATGACAGTTTGCTTAAGATTTAAATTTTCTGACACAAATTTTTAATCTTGTAACTAAAGAAAATTCATATTCATTTACTTGTCGATGGGGTGGACACATGCATGGGGATGGGTTCTCTCCTCCTACAGTAAGCTTAGATTTCTAGCGATCCAACCCCATGATGCCAGGCTTGGCGGGACTGCCTCAGCCATCTCCCTGAGTCTTCAAACTGAAAGGGAGGTTCACAGCCTTTATACAGGTCCACAGGACTAGAGGATGCCTAAGATGGTGAACACGACCATGTGTTTCAGTCCTCATCATAAGGAGGAGTGAGCCTTGAGTATCACACATGCTTTACAGAACAGATTTCAAGGAATGTGCTACATTTCCTTTCACAGTTTATCAGATGTCTGTGAGCTCTGTCTTCCTATCCCAGTCAGAGGCTGTGAATCCCATGACCATGGTGACAACGGGCTGTGTCGACATCCTCTGCAGAAGGGATGAGACTCTTCCTAAGCCTTCCCCCCAAGGCCACCGCCCCCATCACAAATCTCAGGTCTGGTTGACCTCCATGCTGAAGGAGTCTTCCCCGGGGAAAGAGCCAGTGCTGGGGACACTGTAGTGAGTATAGTATTTTTAGTTGGAGATGCTGTCAACACAATTTCCCCTAAGGTAACTGACTATCAGTTGTTAATGGGAATGCCCTGAGGGATTTTATTATTATTAATATTACTAAGGCAGAGGTCACTACTGAATCAAGGGAGTACTTTCCCTGCCCCTCAAGACTTGCACCCAATAAACAGATGCCCCAGTCAGAGATACTCACACTGAGTTGAAGAGGTAGGCTCGCCCTTGACTTCCCTGGAAGGACTGAAATACAAGAAGACAAATAAATAGTTAAGACATCTATGTTACTTATTTGGGAAACTGACCCCAAATCACAACAAACTCGACCTTCCATACAGAAGGGAACATGCAGCCAGCAACGAGTTTGTCTAGCTGGCAGCTGGCATGAGGTGGGAGGTGGTGAAGATGGAATAAACAGTTCAGAGATCAAGGCATCCCACACACTCGGGCTATTTTTACCACCTCAGGTGACTTGAGGGGCAAGGGTACAGATACAAGAGAGTAGCCAGGCTGGAAAGCTATGGCCAACCTGGGACACACTGAGAAAGTTGATCTTTATTTAACAACACAACTCTAGGTAATTAAATACCCCTCCGTTCTTGACATTGCCTGACAATTCACTGGGAAAATTAATCCACACTATCTCTCCTGGTTTGACCTGACATTAGCTCTCTGTGCTGGCTGTCGCTTCACATAACGCTAGGCATGGGAAACCAGTACGGACATTTTGGATTGTCCTCTTCTTCCTCAGACCCCAGCACAAGAGCCTGCACTCATTACTTGCCTTGTTCCTGGTCAGTTCCATCTGCCACAGCAGTTCTAGTCCTAAGTGGAGACCCCAGGACTCCTCTTCTGCTGTGTAAGTGGTCTCAATGATGCCCACTGAGCAGAAGCCCCATTTCACCCTCTAGCTTGTCAGTGGCAGAGGTGACAGGATGGGACAGAAAGGAGTCAGGGCTTGCGGTGCAATCTGGCATCTATCCCCATTCGCACAGGTTTCCTTCCCTCCTCTGGTCTCACTGAGCCGTCTGGCCGACATGAGTCGGCCATGCTCTGCCTTGCTGCTTGCATTTTTAATGTGGTATGACAATTGTATCCCAATTTAACTTCCTAGTCAGCTCTGGGGGTGTGGGGGGAACCAGTATAAAAACAGACAAGGAAACAAGGAACTCTGAAGAAATCTGGGGCGTCTAGCTGACAGATGACTAAAAGCACCAGATGGGTCTCAGATCACTGTGCCTAGGGCAGCCATTCTGTCTTCAGGGTCGATGCCTCTGGCCAGAGAAAGGCAGACTTCCTGTGGAGAAGCTGCTAAGGAACAGCTGGATTGCTGGATGCCTTCCTGCCCAGGTGCAGCTTAAGGAGCAAGCAGATACTCACCAGCTGCTGTCTAGACCTGAACCATATTTCTTAGGACAGCCCAGGGAGCCTAAGACCTCCCAGGCACAATGAAGCTGCTCTGGGGACCATAATCTCTCAAAATGAACACAAAGGTCCCATGACAAAGCCTAGACATGACACAGACTGCTCTCTTGCTACTTACTTCAAGGCTGTGCCCTATGCTCTAGCCCGGGCCTGACTGCCTGCAATGGCTAACTTCCCCAGCTTTGCCCACCCTGTTCTCTGGCCTTCCGAGGAAGACACACAAGAAGCACCTGTGTTCCAGAGGCTCCTTGTTCCACTGTGCTTTCCTTTTTCCATGCATCTGGATTTAAATTTTTAAATCAAATTCCTTCTCTATGTTGTGAGTCCAACAGGTATGGCTCACATCCTCAGGATCTCCCCAAACCCCGCACCGTGTGACTCTGGCACATAATAATTGCTTATTTTTATTTTGAAGAATCTCACTAGGTATCCCTGACTGGCCTTGAACTGACAAGCTATCAAATGCATTTACACAATGATTTCCAGAATATCACTTAGCATCTATCTGTAAAATACAAACTTCTGATTATGGGCAGGTGTGCACTTGGGTAGGATCAAAAAGTCATGTGCCACACTGCACCTGGCCCACCTCTCAGTTGGTTGAGGCCAACCTAGTCTACATAAGAGTGTTGCAGGCTAGCCAAGGTAACATAGTGGGGCAAAAACAAAGGGCAGAGGGTACCGATTATTCACCCAACTCCAAGATTTCCTTGGGCTTCCAAGTCTACCGTCCCCCCCTCTGCTCTTTGTGACTTTCTTGATTATGGCTCCACAGGAAAACCCTGCTTTCTGTCACTCAAACATGTAATTTTTCTTGTTAGGCTTTTTACTCACAAGTATTTACAAAATTTAAGATGTATTTTATTTATGTGTATGTATCCAAGTTGGTGCCCAGAGGCTGGAAGAGGGTGTTAATCTCCTGGAGCTAGAGTTATAGAAGGTTGTGAGTGAGCCATCTGATGTGGTTGCTGGGGAACCGAACCCAGGTCCTCTGTAAGAGCAGCAAATGCTCTTAACCATGGAGTTGTATCTCCAGCCTCTAGCATAGTTCTTTCAAAAATTATCCATGCTGTATTAAAACCCAGTTTATTCCTTTTCTTTCCTTTGTGCCAGGGTTTCATAAAACCCAGGCTAGCCACAAACTCCCTACACAGTAGCTGTCCTGCCTCCTGTCTCCAGCGCTCAGGGGCCGAGGCAACAGCACCCTACCCTTTTCTGTGTTTTTGTGTTTGAAGAATGATCAGAGCTTAGTGTGGTGTCACATACATTTAATCTCAGCACTTGGGAGGCAGAAGCAGGCAGACTTCTGAGTTTGAGGCCAGCCTGGTCTACAAAGTGAGTTCCAGGACATCCAGGACTATACAGAGAAACCCTGTTTCAAAAAAACCTAAAAACAAAACAAAACAAAAAAAATGGAATGATCAGAGTAGCCAGTCATGGTACATGCTTTAATCTTGAAGGTGGATCTCTTGGGGGGTGGGAGTGGGGTCTGAGGCTAGCCAGAGCTACAAAGCAAGACCCTATCTCAAACAACACCCAAACAAAAAGATTAGAAAGGATAACAAGGCAAAAACAACTAGTAGTCAATGTATAAATGTATAAAATGACCAAACAGTAAAATCGTCAATAACATGAAAAGTGATATAAAATAAAATAAAGCAATGTAAAAAAAATTTAAAAGTTTATTTATGAATATAGATATTTTGTCTGCCTGTATGTCTGCACACCAGAAGAAGCACTGGGGTTGTGAGCTGTCATGTGGTTGCTAGGAATTGAACTCAGGACCTCTGGAGGAGCAGCTGGAGCTCTTGACCACTGCACCATCTCTCCAGCCCCATATAAAATTCTTATGTTCACAACAAATACACTTCATAGCAGTGCATTCATGGAATCCATGCACATGGACATTAAAAGGACGCTCGAACTTTGCTGAAAAGTCACTTGCACTGGGGATGGCCATCTGCTCCAGCGAGTTGCCTAGGAGTAACTACCGCCAGTCTGACCCAGATTAAAGTTCCTAGAGAGCAGGGGCAGGCAAGGATGGATGGGTAAAAAAAACTTTCTTCTTAGGCTCAAAGGTGGCTCACAGGTATGACAGGACAGTGCCTCCAGGCATGTTTGGTGAGAGTCTGCTGGTAGAAAACCAGGTCCTGTCAAGGGGGTTAGATGCAAGCAGAGCTGTTCTGATGGGAACACTTCCTCAGGTAAGCCCACAGATGCAGCATCTGCGGCCCTGTTTCCTCAGCCTGGCACTCATAGCCAGATGCATTTTTTTTTTTTTAAAGGCAGAAGTCTGGACAGTCTTCTACCGTGGCTTCCACTGCCCTGGGGACCCTGCCAACTCAACATTTATGATGAGAAAAACAGACACTGAGAACAACAGGCTTCTTGCAAATAGACACAGACAAGAATAACCCGGCTGGGCCACTGTATCCTGTGGGGCCCAGCCTAGCCCAGCACAACCTGGCACAGCCTGGTGTTCCCCTGGGTGGGGGTGGTGCTGAGGTGGGGAGGCCGGAAGGGAGCTAAGGAAGCGACTGAAATGAAGCAAACAGAATTCAGACAGGAGATGCCGAACAGACTGTCAGACACATTTGTTTGCTGTCATTACTGCCTGGCAACAAGGCAGTTCTTTTCCATGTTGTGTGTCAACCAAGGCTGGTGTGCAGGCCTTCAGGAGAGGTTTTTTTTGTTTTGTTTGTTTTCTTTCAAGCCATACAAAACTTTTCTCCTATCCTTTAGGATACAGTACTAGTTGCAGGCCCAGCCCTTCCAGCCAGCTCAAAGAAACGGAAAGGGCTTTCAGTTTCCTGTTTGGTAGTCAAAACCATTCATTTCTGGCCCTGTTGGGAGACTGAAAGGCAGCAATTCCTTTTTTAAAGTAGAACTGCTGGAGCACGGTGTAGTGGTCCATATTTGTTAACGAGGCAGAGGAAGAAGGAATGCAGGTTCGAGGCCAATGTGGGATACATAGCAAGACAAATTTACCACTTGTGCGTACATTTTTTTTTTTTAGACATTTTAACCATTTTAACATCTCCGCACTCCGGGCAGTGGTGGCTCACGCCTTTAATCCCAGCACTTGGGAGGCAGAGGCAGGCGGATTTCTGAGTTCGAGGCCAGCCTGATCTACAGAGTGAGTTCCAGGACAGCCAAGGCTACACAGAGAAACCCTGTCTCGAAAAAAAAAAAATGGAGATGTATTGTACAGTTGGTAGCACTTTTTTCCTTTTCTTTTTCTTTTCTTTTATTTTGGTTTTTCGAGACAGGGTTTCTCTGTGTAGCTCTGGCTGTCCTGGAACTCACTCTGTAGACCAGGCTGGCCACAAACTCAGAAATCCGCCTGCCTCTGCCTCCCAAGTGCTGGGATTAAAGCCACCACTGCCCAGCCAAGACCCTGTCTCAAAATGATTAAAATAAACAGGCTTTGGGTTTGGGGTGGAGGGTAGCCGAATGCAGAGGTGTGGGGAGCAGGTGTGACCTCTGGGAATGGACTGAGCCCTTGATCATTTGAAGTATGAGGAGCTTTGTCACCCCAGAAGACGCAGGCTCCAAATCTGACAGTGCAGCTCTCGCTTAAGCTCTTCTTCTACATCTGTGGATGGAAATCACGCTGTTTACAGGGCAGTTAGAACAGTGAGCAGAATAAGCTGAGTCAAATCAGAAAGTTCCTATCTCACTGAAGGGTTCTCAGGATTCTGAGGAAGAAATTAAAAGCCTACTCAGTCATTCAAGTCCCTTTTTCTTTGGTAACTTTGATTTTCTTTCTTTCTTTCTTTCTTTTTTTTTTGGTCTTAAATAGTTTTTACGTGTTAAAG